CGGGGCCTGTGGGACAGCTCACCGGAGGACACCAGCAGTCTGACGCCCAAGGCCAGGGCCGCGCCCAGCAGCGATCCCGCCTGCGTGAGGCGGCGTCCGGCGCGGCGCACCGACAGGTAGACCAGCAGCTTGGAGGGCAGCTCTGCGGCCCCGAACAACAGCTGCGTCTGGTACACGTTCAGCCCCAGCCCGGACACGTCCAGACTCAGACCATAATAGGAGAAGTTCACCCCGAACCTGAAAGGAGTCGCAGAGCCACTCAGGGGGCTCTCCTTCCCATCCCTCTTTGTCCTCTTTTCTCAGGAAGACTTGGCCTTTTAGAGAGCCGACCTCCCCTCCTTCAGAGCCCACTACCTAGGACCTTCCCTGGCACCCATAATCCCCTCTGAGTGTGCAAAGCACCTTTACCCTAATCTTCACAGTGACTCTGTGACATGGGAGCTGACAGCAGCCCTTTTTACAAGAGGGACACTGAGGCTCGGAGTGGTTAAGTGTCGTGTCCAAGGTCACACAGTAAGGAGGTGGCAGAGCCTGAATTCGAACCCACGTGTCTCCGCTGCCTGCTTCATTTTCTTACCTCCCCCAGCCAAATGGGCCCCCGAGGCTGCTCCTGCTGCCCTCCACAGTTACACTTCACTTGTCCCTCACCCTTCTCACTGGCAGCACCATCCTGGAATCTGCCCCTCCCTCCCACCACATCCACTTCCCAACCCAAGCCAGCCCCCTCCTTACCACACCACCATGCAGCACAGTGAGATGTGTCGGAGCCGTGGGGTACGGAACAGGTCTAGGTACGAAGGTTTCCGGACTGCCCGTTCCCCGGCGGCCACTTTGCTCAGGGCCTGGTGGGTGAGGAGGCGAGGTTATAACACAGCTCTCTCTGGGTCACTCTGTTCCTTCCCTCTGCACTAGGTGGGTGGGGTGGAGTTGCATGTGGGAGCTGGGAGCAGTAAGCCCTGAGTGATAGATGTGACCCACCAGAGCCGGGTAGGACTGTCTAAGGAGCTTGAAACTCTCCACTGGGAGCCTGGGGCTTTTTTTTTCCCCCTGCTATACACGGTGGGCCCAGGAGGGAGGCACTTGACACAGCCCTCCTTCCCCACACACACATACACACACTCACCTCCCGGCTCAGGCCGTCCTCCCCCACGGGCCGCCCATTGAGCCTGGCACAGCGGAGCAGGTACCTGTGGGCCTCCTCCACATGGCCCTGGGTCAGAAGCCAGCGTGCAGACTCAGGCACCCACCTAAGGAACAGGCAGGAGCCCCTTCAGCCAGAAAGTCACAACCCTAAGCCAGATCTCCCTCCTGGGCTCACCACAGGCTGGCTCTTGCTCTTGCAGTCCCCTCAGCCTGGAACATCACCTCCTCTCCAACCCCTCCACAAGGGATGAGCTCTTATTCATCTTTTCAGACCCAATTTTGAAGCCATCTCTTCCCACACTTCCTTGCCCAGGACTGGATGCCACACAGCCTGGGAATCCCTTACCCAACTGGACTGGTCTCACTCTCAAGTTCTCCCATGGGTGGCAGGAGGAACAGGATGAAGGAGAGACAGACATACCCAGCAGGTTCATGCAAAACCAGGTCATCTTTTGAGACAATGAAATGTCCACCCTGCTGTCCTCCCACTCTCCTCCCTGAGCTCCCACCCCACCCCTGTGCTTGCCCTGCCCCTGTGCCCACCCCTACAAGAGGCCAGCCTCAGCTTGGGCTTGACCCTGTCTTTGTCTCTGTCTCTCCATCTCTGTCTCTCGTTGTGTCTGTCCCCACCTGTTCCTCTGACTCTACCTTTCAGTCCTGATCTCTGTCACTCAGTATCTTCCACAGGTCCTGTCTGCCTCTCCATCTCTGTCTCTCTATGTCTTACTCTGTTTTTCACAATCCTTGCCATTTTCTTCCTGTTGCCATCTCTGTTTCTTTTGTGTCTGTGTCTGTTTCTGTCTCTTGACCACTGACTCTGTCTCTCTTTCCCTTCATCTCAAATCTTCAAATCTCAGTCTCTGATTAATTCTGTCTTTGGTTTCTTGTGTCTCCCACTCCCCAGCTGCCTATAGTCCTCACCAGAGGCTGAGGATGCCTAGGGCACAAGGCAGGGTGACAGCCAGCAGAAGCCATCGCCAATCCCGGATCAGATACCCAACCAGTGCCAGCAACATCACGCCCCCCGTCCAGAAGGTGCCGCTCAGGACGCCAGCTACAGTGCGGTGCTCCACATCTAGCCACTCCAGCTCTAGGCCAGGACAGGAGACAGGAAGATGGTTAGTGAGCGCAAGATAGGCTCAGTTCTACTCTGACAACTGCCTTCTTCCAGCACTCTAGATCCTTCCTGTCCCCTGCCTGCCTCACCTAGTGGCATCACGATGATGGTGAAGCCAGCCAGGGCCAAGCCAGTGAGGGTGCGGGTGATGGCAAACATTACATAGCTGACTGAGGCTGCAGACACCAGGCCGAGCACCAGGGCACTTATGTAGGCCACCAGCAGCAGACGGCGCCGCCCAAACCTGCAAAGGTGTCATGCGGGGTCAGCTTTCTGTGGAGGGAGGTTCTAAGACACGGGTACCCCAGCTAACGGGAGAGAGTACCCTCAGCCTGTCTCTTACTGGCCCAATGCCTCACCCCACCTGTCCGACAGGTATCCGAAGACCACAGCCCCCACCAGCACACCAGCAAAGAAGAAGGTGGACGTGGCTCTGTTGAGGCCTTTCTGCTCACACACCAAGTCCCACTGCAAGGACAGTCAGGAAGGGGCTCCTGTGAGTGCAGTTCCCCTCCAGCTGGCACCAGCCCCTCCTCTCCTGACTTGGGCTTTCTGAGGTGAACTGTGCCATTCCATGCCAGGTAATAACCACCCCCAACTATTCACCTCAGCTTGAGGAGGGGGAGACTTTGCCCCTCCCCAGTCTCACAGTCTCTGCTTTTTCCCATGGAAGGCCCTGACCTGCTGCCCCCCGGGGGGACTGCCTTCACCCACACTCCACCTCCAGATGGCTTCTGTCAATACCAGACCCAGGTTCGAAAAGAGGGAGGGCAAAAGAAGGCCTCTGTTGCTTCTCCACCTCTTACTCCAGAAACAGCCTTCCTCGGCCCCGTTGTTCCAACTCCCTGGAGCCACTTTAGCCCTTCACTGTCTTAACCACCTCCCAATTAATTATCATAATAGCAGCTCTTGTGTATGGGCCCCTGACTACCAGCCACGAACTAAACTCATAGCTGCCCTCTACAGAATGACAAACTGAGACTCTAAGAGAGTAATATATCTAATGCCCACGTGGTAACCACCTAAGGCAGTGGCAGGTCCGCCCTACTCACATGTCCTTCAACCTCTGGGCTCAAGTACCTCAGTGGCAATGGTGGAGGAGAACTCTGAGCGGTCGTACTCCCAGCCCTGAGAGCAGGGCACTGTGGAGGGTTCATCCTCCAGCTCCCCAGGGCTCTGCCCCTCTCCGCTCAATGTGATGTTGGGCAGAGCCTGGGGGTGGGCAAAGCGGAGGCAGGAGCTAAGCGTGCCGTCAGGCTCCCGGGGCAGGTGGGCCTCCAACCATGCATCCTGGTGACTGAAGTTTGCAGGAGTGCCAGGTAGGGCACAGCGGTGGGTGGGCACAGCAGCCAGGAAAATGGGCAGGAGGAAGTGCATGGGCAGCAGCACCCGGGGCAGGGCCAGCAGTGCCACATTCCTCAGTTGGAAGGGCCCGAAGCCGCCCACCTGGTCCAGCAACTCCTCAAAGCCCATGCTGCTCACCCACCAGTGTCCCCAGTGCAGGCTCCCTCTGTAGTACCCAGAACAGCTCACCCTATGCACCACATGAACCCTTGGACTCTGGGGGCGGGAGTGGATGCACTGAGCAGAGAGCCTGAAGCCAGAATCCAGCCCTCAGGGGCTGGCCCAGAACCAGCCCCTCCCTAGTCATCCAGGTCTCCTGGGACCCCTGCCTGTCTGGCCCAGTGCCTGCGGGGAGGGCCAGCCATCTGTTCAGAGGTCACTGACTTCGTGGCCCTGGGGCTTACACATTAGTGCTCAGGGACCAAGAAGGTGAACCTTGGCCCCTGTGCTGAAGTAGCTGGCTGATGGGGTGGGAGGTGAGTCCCTAGCCCCTTGGTCAGCAGAGCCACAAGATTACCTAAGAAGAGGAGGCCTCTGGGGCCCAGGGCCAGCTCTCTTGGGGTGCCCTTTGTCCTATGAGACCTTAGGTCAGCCTTGCCTATTTGCGGCTGCAGCCATGCCCTGGCCGACATCCTGGGATTCGGGAAGAGAGCTGGACCCTAACCAGGTGAAAGTTTCTTTCTGCTGATCCATGAGGCCTCCTCATACTCCTAAGTCCCTCCCTGGAGCTGATGCCCTGGCCTAAGATACATATGGAACTGCAGTGGACAGCCTGACCTCTCTGGGGACCTCAGATCTGTCACACTCCCACTTCACTCAGGAGCTCTCCCCATGCATGCAGTCCCTCCTGCCTGCCCCATTCGCCTATTTTCAAGAGCTTCCCAGATTACCCCTTGGAGAAGTAGGGAATGAGGGGGGTTACCATGGTCCTGGTTACCAAGGACCCAGGATTTGCTTCATCAGATCGTACCACTCACTTCTCAAGCACAGTCCCTGCAGCAAAAGTGCAGCAGAAGCCAGCAATGTCAGATTCATTCTGATCGGATTGTCCAAGCACCAGGCTGGCAGAGACACTGGTTTAATCTAACTCTTCCTTTGAACAGATCAGAAAACCAAAGGCAGGGTAGGGACCTGCTGGGGTCACACAATGACTCAGCAGCAGAGCTGAAGAGAGGACTAGAACCCCTGACTCTAGCCTGAGAGTCTTGTCTTTGACCCAGGCTGCTGAGCTGGTGATGTCCCAGTGGGCTCCAGGCTGGGCTCCGTGAGAAAACTCTGGAAAGGGGGCTAAAGGGTGGCATGGTATGTGCTGATGGTGGTGCTGAATGGCATGGGAGTGAGGGCAGTGGTGAGAAGCAGAGGCAGCTCATGGTGATGGTGACAGGAAGTGATAGTAGTGAGAGATACTTGTGCAGCGTTGACATTCTGTAGGGCACAGAGATGCCTCAACATTCTCTGGGGCACAGAGATGCCTCGGATGCAGTCCCTTCCCTTAGGGAGCTCATAGGAGGGTTGAAGTCAGTTACACAAGCCTCCCTGCCTCCAGTCTCACCTCTTTCAATCCATTCTCCACAAACCCACCATAGTGAAAATTTTAAAATACAAATCCAATAGGGTCACATCCTTCACCCGTTAAAACCCTTCACCCCTACTTGGAAGGCTGAGGCAGAAGGATCGCCGGAGCCCAGCAGGTCGAGGCTGCGGTGGCCGGGAGCGGCCACTGCACTCCAGTCTGGGCGACAGAGTGAGACTCCAACTCAAAAACAAATAAAATAAAATAAAATAAAACCCTTCACCCGTTCCCACTGCCTGAGGGGGAAAGTCCAGCTCCTCAGCTTGGCCCACAGGATCCCCCAGGACCCGCTCCTTTCCCCCTACCCAGCTCTGATCCCTCCACAACATGCCTCCTTCCCTCCAATTACCCCCACACACCAGCCCTCCTCATTCACCTGGTGGATTCCAGACCTCCCTGAAGACCAGCTCAAGGGGAGACATTACTTCCACTTGTTGGCTCCTCTCTCATTTAATACTGTATAATCATATTGTTTGTATAAAATATGTAAGATGCCATAACCATTTGCAGCTACTGAAAGGAAAGTTGTGTGGCCACCTCATCTTCATGACCCATCTGGTGACTGCACAGGGGAGTAAGCTGAAGTCTTTCCACAACTGGAGGGAACTAGCCGAGGCCAACCTCGGGCACTGGCTATGATGCCTTAGCTTTCCAATGGGAATTTTTCTCCTGCTTTAATATCAGAAATAGCTGATAATCACACAGTGCTCCCCTCTCCCTCTTCATATTGGCTTCTAGAAAATTCAGATCTAAATTTGCAGCCCCTTTCCACAGAAAATAAATCTGGCATTAATTGCATCTCTGGCTTCATCTTATTCCCTGGCCCTACCCCATATGGGAGCTCACTTCTCTGATGGCAATAATGACCATGATGCTTGAGGCAGATGACAGAGCTGGACAGGCAGGTATGAAGTGCTGAGTCTAGCCAGAGGACAGATCAACTCTGAGTCGCCAGTTAAGAGCTGGTTTTGAGTGGATTATTAACCATTCTCCAACCTCTCCAACCTGAGAATCTTAACCTGAGCTCAGAGGCTAAGGTAGAGACCTTCATTTGTACCAAAGTGGCTGGGGAGGAGCCTTGTGCACTGAAAACAACTCCTTAATTGAAGTTACTAATGGAACTGTTGGAAGATTTGTGGACAATATGTTCCTGGGATAAACACTTCCCTATCTGGGATTGCTTGCAATAGGGCCTTCTTAGACTTCAGGCCTTTTACTCTTTCACCCCTCTCCCCACTGAATGACCTCAGATAATCTCCCCATCTTACCAAGGGTCATGAACCATGAACCAACACTGTAACCCATGTCATCATTTCCTATGTTGCTGGTGGTGGTAATGACAGAATCAATTACAGTGGTGGGTATGGTGTCATAGTAACAAGTGAGATACTGATGGTGGAAGTGATGGTGACAGGGGTGATTGGAGTAGGAAGGAGGGGAGTAAGGCTGGGGCCACTGGCAGTAGTGATGTGGTCATGAGGGTAATGGTATTAATGAGATTATGTGGTACATGGCGGTGACCAGTGTTGGTGATGTAGTGGTGGTGGTGGTGATGGTGGTGGTACTAGTGTGAAGTGGTGGCGATTGGGGGGTGGTAATGATGGTGGTAATGATGCTGTGGTGGTGGTAGTGGTGATGGTGGTGGTAGTGATGGTGGTGGTGGTGGTGGTAACATGTGATGCGTTGCTGGGGGTGGTGACAGAGGTGGCGGTAATGCTGGTGGTGGTGATAGTGGTGACCATGGTCATGGTGGTGGTGGGGTGATGTGGTGTTCGTGCTGGTGGTGGTCACTGTGGTGGTGGTGGTGGTGGTGGGCATGGTGCTACCACCATGTGGTGATTGGTGGTGGCAGTGAAGGAAGCAGTGAAAATGTGTCATCTCACTGACCTCATGGGCCTTGTCCCTTTTTAATCATTATGTCATCAGAGCCTAATGTGGTGTGGTGACAGTCTGGGAGAAGAGTGTCTGGGATCTGAGTGAGGAGGAGTCTAGTGATAGTAGGGAATGGAAACAGAAGAGGTGATTGTGGTAAAATTAGTCGTGGTAGCGATGGGTGGCTTTACAGTGCTCCAAGTTTAATGGTACACGGAGAGAGGAGGCATGTAGAAGATACCATCTGGAAGTGCTGAAAGGGGTGTATATCACATTACCTTTGACCCATGGCCAAATTCCCAGGGCCATGCAGATTCTCCTTTCATGTCACCTCATCACCCTGGGCAATGACCAGGCTCCTGCAACTGCCGAGGACTTACAAAGGTCACTCTGACCACCGTTCAGCCTTGGGCTGGTCTCAACGCTTGTCCTGACACATCAGTAACCAATGGGAACACATCAGTAACCAATGGGAACACCTCAGCTGGCCCCATGTCTGATGATCGAAGGCAACACCCTCTCCATTCCCACCCGCGTCTCTTTTCTCCAGGTGTCCCTGAGGGGGCCCTGTCTACCTAACAAAGGCTCCTTCAAATGTCCCCTAGTCTTATGCCCCCCATCTACCCCCTAGCTGATCAATCTTGCTCAAGCCACTTACTTCTCTGTGCCCCTGTCTTCAGACCTCTCTTTGACCACAGAACAAAGAAGAGAAATGTCTTTCTGAGAGACAATGAGGAGAAGGTCTGCCAGGGGCTGAGCAGGTCCTCACCCATGGAGGAGCATCAGGTAGTTGCAGACAACCCAGCTGGGCCTTGGGAAGTAAGTGTGCCTGGCAGGTTTCGGGCTCCTGGGGAGGGGGTGGGCAGAGGGTCTCTGCAGCCCTCTAAAACCCTCTTATTTGGCATAACTTATCCCTGCTCCAGGCCTGGGCCTGCTCCCTCTTTGCCCCTCTTTCCATTCCCAGATTGATGCCTGTGACCTACCCCACTGAACCTTATGCAATCTCATGCCTCCACACTTGGCCCGTGCTGCTCCCTCTGCCAGGAATGTCCCCTATCCTTCATCTGGCCGACTCTTGTTTGTCTTTCAAAATTCAGTCCAAGAGGCACATCTGTCTGGGCATGTTCCATGAAGCTCTCAGTCTGGGCTGGGAGTTCCTCCGTAAGCCTCATGTATCAAGGCACATACTACACACATAAAGTGAAAGTTAATTTCCAACCACCTCCTAGGAGGCACATTATGCTTTGTCTCAGCGCCTGGACAGTGCCCGACATCTGGCACAGCCTCTCACACATGCTGAGCTCAGCAACAGCCTGCAGTTAGTTGAATAAATGGGTTGGATGAATGAATGGTTGACTAAATGCTAAATAATGAAAGTAATCTGTAGTATTCATTCATTCAGCCTCAAAGAAATTTTAAAATAAATTAAGACACCATTTTTTATTTATGTAATGATTCCAGGATTTCTCTTAGAATTAGACTTGCAGAAGAAGTAAGCAAAGGTTGGAGCCAAGATGTTCATTTTGGCACTGTTTGACATAGTGAAAAGTTAGAAATGAAAACATACATCCACACAAAAATTTGTACATAATGTTCATAGTAACGTTATTTGTAATAGCCTAAAATGGAAACATCCCAAAATTCACTAACTGATGAAATGTCAAAATGTGGCATAGCCATAAAGTAGAATATTATCTGGCAATAAAAAGGAATAAAATACTGATGCGTGCCACAATATGGGAGTACCTTGAAAGCATGCTAAGTGAAAGAAGGCAGTCA